ATAGTTGATAGAAATATTAGCCTAAAAGAGGGAAGGCCACACATGCGTGTCTTCTAATGATTTGATTTTAGTTTGTTTAGTTTTTGTGTCATGCTAAACCTGTTGTCAGCCAGTAATTATGAATAATAGTTGTGGGAAGCCAAAAGCCACAATGACTCCTCAACCTTCAGTGGATTGTTGTCTCTGTTTTGGTTGTTTGAGTTGCTAAGGGGATGATTTTTTTATGGCTTAAACATGCTTTGTTGGTTGTGCAGTCTGACCACATCAAACCGCTCTGTTACAAACAACTGAACACGAAGGTGGGGCAGAGAAATGTCCAATGTTGATCCAACTGAGTTTTGTCTATTCAAAGGTCATAATGAATCTGAAATAATAGATACATTATGATGGCAAATGAGCTTAAAATGTTTAATATGGTTATGGTTTTATTATCTTTTAACCTTTCTTGACGTAACAGTTTGTGGTAACAATCGTCCCATTTCTAGAAAATGCAACACAAATTTGAAACTGTAATTTGGTCAATTATTGATTTTAAAAAATCTAACCAGTTTAGAGTTTGATGTCAGTACCACCCTCAATCAGCCTAGACAATGAATAAACAAGGACACACTCTGCTAAATTACTTTAGGCGGATTAATAGTGGAACATTACTTGACCATTGTACAGGATGAACTTGCAACAAGCTTTGATTATCTGCAACATAATTCTTTTAAAAACCTCCCACTCCCTGTGGTAAGGAGTGAGCAGTGTCATAGTTTCAAAGTGGTATATTAGTGACTCAACTGACTCATCTCAGATGTTGTATTTTGATTTGTTCTTTTGTCAGGTGATAACAGGTCTTGTGACCTGGCAGCTGCCACTACAAAAGAAACTATGACTCACAAGCCTGGCTTTACAAACACTGACTTTAGAAAGCATTTTGTGATATAATGATGACCTGGTGTGTAAGATTTCCAACAATGAAAGACCGGGTCCTGACCCCTGAATCACTTCTCAGCTCTTATTTGATACAAAGAGGCCAACCTAACTCGTAATTCTAGAGGTAGAAATATACGAGGACTAACAAGAAACTGAGATGTTTTGAAGATGTTAAAGCCAAGACAAGGAAATAAGTATAAACAAACTTACCACAATGGTCATTTCAACAAAGCTTTTAAATAAGCTATTTAATTTTTTTTTTGCTAATTTGTTACTTATGAAATTGTCAAACATTTCACATAACTTATAAGTGGTTAATACTTAAATTTTGTTGAATATGGGCATCAAAAATATGCAGTTTATTTTAGACAGACAATATCTGGAAAACTCCAATCAGAACCTAATCGTAATCTGAACACTACACTTTTTTTTGTGGGTTTTTAAATAGATTTCGTACACAAATATACAACAACAGTGCTGCTTTATAAACCAGATTTTACTAAACTTAATATTACATATTATTGCCATTATTAAAACAACTAAAGACTCAGACATTTCATAAATCCATGTAATCAAATAATTTATTATATTTATTAACATATACTATTAACACCTATCGTTGTACTAAATACTTTAAGCCTCTCTCATAGGAACTTAAGAAGGACTTGTTTCTCACTAACAAATGCATGTTATTAGGATTTTCAAATGAAGCATAACAGTTAATAATTCTGTCTGAATAAGTTACCAGCTAACATAAATATTGAATAAAGACCTGGCATTCCTTGAAGGAATGCATACGGCCGGTCACCTTTTATATTAGAGTTTTAAACTAAGCTCATGGTCAAACCTTCAAAATAATGTATGAAATATTTCAACAGTACGTTATGACTCGGCTGTTATCACATCAGGTTTTAGCTCAATATCTGTAAAACGGACTGATTTAAAATCATGTATGTATATTGGTTTAGGTTAGTGGGCTGTGGCAGCCATATTGGATTGGGTTGGCTCCAAAATTTCATCAGCTTTAAATGTTCATCCGATAATTACTTTCTGAAGATTTCATTAAAGTCATTTCAGTGGTTCATGGGATATTTCACTAACAGACAGAGATAGATGGTTCTAATAGTTTATAGTAAACACGGTTCTTGCTCGCTGTGTCAGCTCTTGAATTTTGTCACGGGAATCCGTTTCAGCTGCTATCATACCAAAGTTTAGCACAATATGTGTAAAATTAATAATTATAGCTAATCTTTTTTCTTGCTAAGGCACAGACACAAACAAATATAGGCATAAATATTATTGCCTGTCTTTCACCTTTGGGTGCAGGATGATAAAATAATAATAATCTACAAAGGGAAAGATAAAGTTACAGTAAGTAATGCAATACATACCGAGTTTCCTTTGTGTGCATTGGTAGACATTTTCAAACACCAGGTGTGTTTTTTTATTTTCAGAAGGCTTGTAGTGTTAAAAACACACATCCAAACAGCACTCACTGAGGTAGAGTCATACTGATGATAACATGGCAATAAATCAGATGACTTTGCCACAGCGAGTGTTGCTTCTTCTAATTATTAGAGATGGGATGTAAATGGCTCTTTGAAATGAACCGGATGTTGACGATCCGTTCACTTCGTCGAGCCATTCAATGTTGCACGTGTGACATACAGATAAACGTCATCACAAACAACGTATGTGATGACGTCAGGGACACGTGGTATGGCCCTGACGTACCACGTGTTTTGTTAAGCGGTGTAACCTCCCCTCCTGCACCTCCCGTTTGCCTGTTTTCCTTCATCATAATGAAAAATTCAAGAAGGAGCGTTTGTCTGTGGGACTGAGGAAGAAAACATGAAGAAGTTACAAGGAGGAAAAAAAATAAAACTAGCAATGGCTCTTTAGTGGGAGTGGAGGCGCAGAGGTTAGAGAAGGTAGGCCTGTTATTGGAAGGTTGCCAGTTCAACTCCCCGGATCAACAACATCAAAATGTGGGTGAGAAAGGTGAAAAACCCACACCTGTCTCCACCCTCATTTACCCCACTCTGGGTCCTTGAGCAAGGCCTTTAACCACCACCATCTGCTCCCCCAGGTGCCCAGCGCTCTCTGCTCCACACAGAGGGCTGTGGTAGCTCGGTGGTCTGTATTTGTGTCAGGAAGGGCATCCAGCGTAAAATCAACTGCCAAGTCTTGGTGCAAGTTAGTTCACTGTGGCGACCCCTGAGGAAGGGAGCAGCCGAAATCACATCTTTACTAATTATCCTACGTGATCAAGATGTGAACCCTGGTTGAGTTGTGCATGCTAAAAAAAAACCTTTGTTAAAAGCTGTTAACCCCACATATCTGTTAGTATGTGCGTAGAGTTTTGTGCCACGATTCAAAACGCGGTACGGTATAACCACGCACACAAAACGTGGATGACAAGAGTCACATGGTGCCCAGCTGATGAGACCAAACCAGTCCAGCTCAGGTAGAATTACACTCTAATCTGACTCTGGGAGTAAATTAATCACACCACCTCAATCTAAACACACACAAAACATATCAGCAAATATGAAGACTACATGTTTTATTTCTGTTCCGTTATACTCAGTCATCTATTTAAATGAAGTTTGTGTTTTCATTCAAGCACAAAGCGATTATTTCTTTCACCTGCTTCCTGTATTACCACGAAAATGATCTTTGAAAAATAGTCTGCTGTCCCGGAGAAAATTGCCCTGAAGATGTGGGTTGAGAAGCAAACAAAGAGACATAGTCATTTAGGCATGGCAGTGAAACCAGCCAAACAGACAGCAGACAGAGCCAAGAAACATTATGCTCTGATTATAATTAATCTAAACACAAACTGAAGGTGAGCAATTTCAACTCACAACTAAATGGATAATGATGCACACAATTTTGACATCTGCATGTGATGTTGCTGAAAACAAACCGAAAAGGATCAGTAACCTCATTCAGACATGTGTGACTGCAGCCCGACCACATACTGTGTCATTAAGATGATCAGCTGACTGGGAGCTGCTGCCAAAGTGTGGTTTTGGGTTTTGAGCTTTGTGTTGACCTTACTTTTTCAGTCGTGAAAGAGCATGTTTAGAAACACAAATTAAAGCGTGTTTAGAAGTTTTCAGTCCAGCCCAAACTGAAAAGTGGTTGTGCACTAAACAGTTCTATTGTCAATGTAAAAAAAGAAAAGAAAGAAAGAAAAACAAAAAGACTTCTTGTTTGTTAGAAATGTTGTGGTATGTTTTCCAGTCAATAAAACAAGGCCACACTGGTCAACTGGTATAATACATCAAATCATATTGTACTGCAAACTACAGCAAGACCAGCTCTGAACATCTTGTTTCTTCAGGACGATTAGTTTTTCACAGTGACCTATTCATCACTCCCACCAGCTGCAGTTGGATGAGATGCTCCGGCTTGCTTTGAGAGACATTTCTTTAGAAGATGAAAAGATTTTTTTAAATTTTCATTAACTTCGCAGTCACAAAATTCCTCAAAAAGAGTTTCTAATAGCCTCATTATTGGGGCCTATTGGCTTTTATCAAGGAAAAAGTGTGTGTGTGGGAGTGGGGGATGCTGTCAGAGCATATGATCTGTGTTGATAACTTGTGTGGAAGTCTGGGGAATATTTCAAACATGTCTTTGTATCCGGTCAACCTTCCTCCCACTTGCCTTCCCAGTATATTTTGCTACAAAGCAGCAAAGAGCACGCAGCCCAGTGTCAGGTATCTGAAGCTGTACGTCTGTTCTTGTTTAAGGCAGCCTCATACAAAACAAATATTGTGCAAGAAGCCTTCCAGGAACTTGAGAAGAACATAAAGTTCTCTTGCTCTTTGGATCCGACCATACTGACACAGAGAGGAGGATTTATGTTCTGCAGGGAGTGTGAGGTTACGCCTGTTCATGAACATGCACTGCATTAAACACACACACTTACTTGAGAATTACCAGCAGATGTATAGCATGCAAGATCAACAGCAAGTTGAAGACAATCCCACAATTCTTGTAAAATTTGAGCACTTCCTGTGCCTGATTTATATACATACAAAAAGACAAAAACACGTGTGTGTGGAGCTTCACCAAGCTTTATTTACATGCGCACCATTTCTTATACAAACTAGATTACAATTCAAAATGGAATACACAGGTAAAATACCCACTAACATTGAGTTGAGAAGAAGTAAGATTAATAAAGGGCAAAGTTCAGAGGTGTGTATGGAAAAGGAGCTGGCCTGGGACTCTTAACAAGAGAAAAATACAAAACGTCCAAGAGGTCATTAAGGTTTCTAGTGGTATGTCGATGTTTTCTCTTTTCTTAGCTTTAAGCCAGCACATGATGTGCTGCGTGTGTGTGTTGGGCGTAAAGGGGAGGTCAGCTGTGCTTGAACAAAGGTAGTAGCATAGAGTGGTGGTATTGAAGGAAAAGCACCACTGTGACTCCTAGAAGAGCTGAAACACTTGACACTGAACATAGAAAATGTAACTTCTCTGCAAGTGAAACCTACACAGCTTATCAGGGATCAATAATCTTATCTTTATATACAAAAGATCACATCGATCACAAGATTCACCTTCTCAGTGTTCTTCACAGGGTAACTACAGAAGTAATATTAAATACAATCAGTGTGGGTGAATTTAAATGCTTAGCTGGCCTAAACAAATGATAGTGTTCTGCAAGTTTTAGATGTATTCCAGCGTCTTTAAAAATAAAATTAAATCAATGTTCGAACCAGCTGGTTGAAAAGCACCAGGGTGTTCATGTAAAACAAGAATACGTTTCCTGTCTACACATATGGAATCACTTGGAATATTAACCCTATTAAAACCACGGTTCAGAGCTTTTCAAGTGTTCTGTGGAAAATGTATGATCAAGTAATATCTTACCTGCTATGGAAAGCTTTTTGAAAGCCCTCAATTTGGAGAATTTAAATTTAAATTTGACTTGACTGACGAGCTAACGGCTACTCAAAGTGGACTGCTGACGTCTAAAAACCACTCAAAAAATCATAGCAATTCATGTAAACACTATTTTATGAACCTTTACATTGTTCTCGTTGTTAAATTACACTGTTATTCCAGCAAGAACATCAAAATATTTCAGCCAGGCTGCACAGCTGATGTGGCCAATTGCACTTGCAAAAACCCATAGAAATATAAGTCAATAACAGTGTAACGCAAAATTAACAGGGGATGGTGCTCACATGAATTCCTATGAGGTTTATGAGATGGGAGTTGTTTTAAAATGGCTGCACTCCACTTTGGTCTTGGCCACACACTGACTAGCTGCTAGCTTGTCTTATAACAAGCTAGCCTCTTCATAAGATTTGGGCATTAAATGAGCAAGATGGTGCAAGAGCTCCTCCTGCCAAAAAAGAACAGAGAGCGTGTTTGGCTGATAAAAATACTTGGTCCTCTCTGCATTACAATGTCTGCAATGGGACGGAACCATTTGGAGGGTTGAGGGGGAGTTCTGCTAACCCATGCACTAAACCTCAGATAGCACATTAGCCCATTCCAGCTAACCATGCACACCCGCTCTTCTGCCTTGGTGTCAAAATGATATACACAAATCTGTACACTATTATACACAGCAGGGAATACACTTCATGTCACTACCCCAAACAGAAAAGGGGGTACCAGAGCTTCCAGATGCTACAACAATGGTTCTTGTGACCATTAAAACAAACAAACAAAAAAATCTGGTTCGACAATTAAATCGCTGGTAACAGTGTTCCCACTTACCCAGCGTGTAACTTTGTTCAATAATTCTTCAACTACAGAGGTATCACAAAAAATCCAAGGGTCAAGTACTAACATGAGTATATAAGGACAAACAGCGAGTACATATGCATCTTCACACGATTCATAATGCATAAATACAGACATGCATACAGACGGCTGTGCTGTATGCATCGTGAGATATTACACATCCTTGTGAGATTAATTCAGCTGAAATCTACTTGGTAGAGAAACACTACACAAGTCAGGAGATACAGGAAGTCACCTGCAGGAGCACCAGGCGTGTCCATGAGGGGCTGTGTCTGTGTCACAAGTCCAACAATAGGAAGAGAAATAGTTATGACAGGAAACCCCCAAAAAATAACAGACATGCGTGACTTAATAATCCTGACATTAATCCTCCTTCCATCCCTTCATCTCGACGACCAAAAGTTCACAGGTTACAAGTTCACAAGCACAAAGTATTAGGTTTTATTATTAAGAAATGTTCTGTGTGAATCCATTTGAATGTAAGTATTTCAAATGGGAAGCCTCAATGTCCCCCCACCCCTGAGTGATTTTATATGTGAATAACAAGCCCCCTGTGTGCTATATGTGTTTGTGTGTGTACACGTGTGATTTGGCTGCCAGAAAATCCTACTGTCTGTTTCAAGTAAATTTGGCAATATACAGAAATAGCTTATTTTACCCAAGAAACAACTGGCTTTGAGAGGAATGAGCCTAAAAAAAAAAAGAACCCTGCTCCCCACGCCGTCTTCAATCTGGCTGCGCTGTATGGCTCTAGCTTTGAGCTTTCTTCTGTAAAAACTGCTCATACAAGAAAGTTTGCATCTTGCTCTCGAGACAGGATTCAACACTGTTTATATAGCACCTGTAGTGGTGTGGAAATGTTCTCAACGCTAGCAAACAGGCTTTCATTTTGGCTACATCATATGCTGCGATAAACGACCTCAACGGAATTCACCGTAAGCTCTAAAACCCAAAACAGACATAAGATCTTTTCCTCTTTTCTTTGTGCACACATTAATGTACACACAGATGCAGAAATTAGCGATTATAATAATGCATGTTGCTGTTACTTTAAATTCAAGCAATGCATAACAAAACAGTAGGTCTATGGCATTAAATTTAGATTGTTTTATTTATTTTTTTTTACTTCCAAAGTTTCTGAGGTTTTGCAAAAATGTCAGTTAGTCTGTATGAGTGTATGCAAGTAGGATCCTCCATTTCCATCTCTTCATTTGACTCAAAATACACCAGTTCTGTTTGTACAGACGTCTATGATCCAGAAACAATTACAATAAAACAGAACCCCCTTGAAAAACAAACACAGAACAATTAAAACGACTAAGAGCGGAGGGATTTTTTGTTAACCCTCAACATAACACATCTGGAAACAACTGGATCAGATTTACACTACATCACCTCTTGATTTTTGTCTTTTTTTTTGCCTTCAGCGGGAACAGCTGCACCATGCTCTTCTTACTTCCTTGCTTGATGTTTTGTCCCTTCTGTGCAGTGTCTTTTTGATATCAAGAAACTGACTGTCAAAGAAAAATTGCATAATTCCAAGCTATACGTGAGTTTGCTGTGATTGTTTGACATAGCTTTAAGTTGTTTTCTTTGTTGTTGTTTTTTTGCAAAGGAGTCTTTAAAGAGCTTATGTGCAGCATCTCTGTTTGTCAGCTCGTTCACGGTTCGTCAGTGTAGGAGCGCAGGTAAAGCTCATGAGAGGAAGTCTGCTTCTGTAAACACGGGGTTTGGATTTGACCTTGTGCTGATGGTTGGTTTGGCAAAAAGGATGGTGTGTGTCTGATCTTTTCTTCCACATCAAAGGTCAGACCTGTAGAGATAGAACAATAACATTGGGATGAAAAAAATATGCACACTGCTTGAAAAAAATATCTTACCTTGTTTTGGACTAAAACCAAAAATTTCTGCGAGAAACGCACAAATGAGCTAACTGCTCCAAATTCAATATGTTCTCTTTAGAAAATGTTCAGCTATAAGCTAATGATCTTAATCTTCCAAACGTTCTTCTTTCTTCCTTTATTAAATTTTACATAATCAACCTCCAATTTCATTATCCAATTTCTTTCTTAGGGGTTATTTTTTCAATGAGCAATTTTGTAATAACTTACTTTATAAAAGTAGTTATTTTATTAAGTTCATGAATATATTATCAACTAGTGCTGTTTGTTCTAGATAAACTTTCAAAAAAGTGTTTGACTGTGTAGCAGGATAAACTTACAGTGACTTTCATAGTTAGATTAAGGACTCCAGATTCACAAGCCTTATAGCACCAATTGTCAACTGATGGCCCAAGGGCCAAATCTGGCCTGTGATGTCACCCAGTCTGGTCCACAAAGTATTTGTGTTAATCAAGTGCATATATTGCAGAAATCAACAGTAGCTCACCAGAAAGTGTTTATAACAGCAATATCTTTGTCAATCACTTCACTTGCTCACATTATGTGATCAGGGATTATTTTATTTCAGAAAACACCTTCAACCTAGGCCTGAGACCTTTTTGCTGTCAGAGTCATAAAAACAAGTACCAAGGTGGCATGGGGAGTTGAAGTCAATCCATTTCCATTAAGCCTCTGAGCCGCCAAATGAAGAACAAAAATGATTGATATGTGGTGGGGTGTGATTTAGAACAACAAAAAAAAGTCTGCCACGCATTTTAAGCACAGTACTCCATGTTGGCATTGCACACCTCTATACTGTGCCTTCTATGTTTCTATGTGCTAAGATAGTTTCACACCAGCAGCTAAAAGCATCAGCAATAGTGATATGAGCAGTAATTAGCAGTGATATTGTGAAGTTATGACAGCAGAAACTGAACAAAATAAAACAGAAGGGTCATAATTACAGATAATTTACTAATGAATGGTTGGATGCCATATGCGTAGAAAAACCTGGTCTGTCAGCAAATTTGTTGGTGACCTCTGCCTTAAAGCATCCTGAGGTTTTTGTGTATTGTGTGGTGATTTGGATTCACACTATTGAATTACACACCCTTAATCGGTGTAACAGTGATATTTTTTAACATTTATCAATTATAGAAAAATAAAAATGCAGTTGCGTCAGAACTGGGCAAGAACTTTTTTTTGCAATTAACCTTAATGGATAAGTGCTAGATGTGCTCAAATGCTAGATGTTTTATTGCTGTAAAAACTAACACTGAATCATACACACCTTTACTGCTCCTTGCTTCTCAGCCAGGAACCCATCTTTGAGAGGTCTGCTTGTTATTTGTGAAATTGCCAACTCCGTTCATATTGACCAGAGACTCAAAATTAAAATCTAGCCCATCTGCATCCATCAGGTCATTCCTGATTATAGAATCCATGTCACACTCCAGGCTGCCGTTGAACATGTCCAGGTCAAGATCCGTGGGGAAACGATCTTGACATCCCCCAGTGCTGCTGACTGTGCCATTCAAAAAGATTGAGGGATCAATCTGCATTGAGGAAGTCCCATTTCCTCCCACTGGTGAGAGCAGGAGCTGCTGTTTAGCGTTAGCCAGTGAGTTAGCCTCATTGGCTAAGTTCAGGTCTCCGTTTACAGACCTCTGGTTATGATTGTTACTTTGCAGCAACTCATGGCTGCTTTGAAGTCCCCCAGTGGTCCCAAAAGTCATTACCGGATCATTGCGGACCATAACATTACGGCGCGAATTCTGGGACATGACAGCCACTGCACTTGCCTGTGACATTAGTGGGTCAGATTGGGTCATCATTACATCACTGTGGTTGTGACAGTCAGAGTTGAGCAAGTCTTGTAATATTTGACCTCCAAAGCGGGGCATGCTGATGGTGGAGAAGGATGTTGGCTTGTTCTCCTGGATGGTCTGCATGGGAGACGAACGCAGAGAGGAGCCTGTTGTATGGGAGCCAAATATGGAGTTACCATAGTTATTACTTCCACCATTTGAAGGAGAGTTGGAAGATTGAGGGGACGTAGAGGAAGGTGAACCAATGCCATTGGGTTTGGAACCAAAACTGAACCCTGAGGGACCATTCTGTGAGGTCTGGCTAGAGGCTGTTGGTGCAAGTTTAATGTTGTCTAGTAGATCATCCATCAAATCTTCTGTCATTCCATCGGTCAATTTCATTGTTTCTGCCAAATCTGTGAGGCGGGGCAGCTCGGTGGGAGCAGCCTTTCCGTTAACTGTGGGGTTTCCGGGAGATAGCGTCTTCCCAGGACTGGAGTAGATCATGGGTGAAAGAGGAGGCTCATCGTCGGGCACCTCGTCTAACTCAGGGTTGGCCAAAATGGGTGAGAGCCGACCACTAAGTGTGCTGGCGTTTGAGTTGGTTCGAGAGCGGAAGTCTGTCCAGGCATCTAACTCCTCACTGCTGCGTGATGTTGGACTCCCAGGCCACTTAGATGGACCCGAAGGGCTGTCCTCACCACCATCACCAGCTGCAGCAGCAGCAGCCTGCAGGGCAGCCTTCTTCTTAGCAGCACGGCCACGGGCAGACTTGGTGTACTTGTTGCTGTTGTCCATGGAGACTGCTCGACGCCGCGGAGCCTTGCCACCCTTCCCTCCCTCAGGGTTGATCATCCACCAAGAACTCTTTCCGGTTCCCTCATTCTGGACACGGATGAAGCGACTATGGAGGGAAAGGTTGTGCCGGATGGAATTCTGTAACACAAAACAGAAAAAGCCTTCACTGAGCATGTAAACAAAACCTGAAACAATTCCACAAACTATTACTGTCATCAGTATTTATTTTATTGACAAGACAAACAAAGAAAGCAAAAAGAACTCTGTTTCTGTTCCCCTAAAAATATAGACAGGCTCATATTTGTGTGAAGTGACACTTAACGCTGATGTCAGCATTGTCCCTGCTGTAGCTTTTGTGTAGTGTTTATAAAAGAGAAAAGAGGTCTATAATCATGCATCTCTTTAATTATGAACAACACAAACAAAGAGCCTCTGTGTGTCAGATTATGGGTTGTTTGGGCGTGAGTTTTGCCTGGTGTGTGCCGATAAACTCTGATTTCTTGTGAAAGCCCAAAAGGCTCATTGTGGAGGAACTGGTGCACATGACAGCCTCTACTAATGACCGAGTGTTTCATTTATTACACACAGCCAAATGTGCACATTAAGAGTCTCAAACTGCAACATAACCCTGTTTAACGTGTCCAACTGTTGACATTATTTACACACACAGTTCTCAGATAGTTGTTTTTACTCTACAATCTTATGACAGCAAATGTCCACACTAGCAGTGTAACTCAGAATTTCAAGGTCAATCTTTCTGACCAAAAAGGTGTCTCTCAGCGAGATATTTGTGGCAAACTAGAAGGGCAGGTTCATAGTCCACACAGAAATAGGCTTTTAGACAATAACTTTCAGCTACCACAATTTAACTTTTGTGTCTCAACAATTTTCCTGATTATTCTTGTCTGTCCACATGGTCACAAAATCCTACATATTATATTATTATTATTTGTATATTAACAAGACGTCTTGGATGTGATTTTGCCTTTGAGTTAAAGTCCTCTGCAAAAGTCTTGAGTTATCGTCCTTTCCTTTATATTTTGTTTCTAAGCAGCCAGACATTTTCACAGTCTCATTAAGTGTTTTCCAGACATTTTGAATGTCTTCTGTATGTTTTTTTCTCACTCATTTTCAGTCCAGTAATTAATAATTTTCAGAGGGATGGTTGTAAAGCTACTTAACTTTGACATATGAATCAATCAGGCATAAAACTACTCCCAAACTCAACAAATTAATCAGCATCATGTCAACAAATAAACATATCAAAATAATCTTAACATTAATATTTAGGCACTACAGAAGCCTGTAAAAAAAAAAACGTGTTAATAGTATGCCAGTGGCAAGTAGAAGAACCATATGCAGCTCGTGTAACCAGCTTGGTCACACATTTTTAAAGGATGACATCATATTCTTCAACCAAATTGTAGCAAGTCAGTCAATGTGGTTGAGCTGGTCATTCTGGAACAAACAGCACGTTCAAGCTGATCCTGCGAGTTTAATGGGGTTGATGTCAGGACTACAGGCTGGCCATTCAATAAATCCCCTTCTGTGGGGGGTGAGTGTTGTCATCTTGGAGAACAGAGTTCAATCTCAGAATGGGATGATATGAGATTGCCACTGGTTGCTCACAGGTGACAATCAAGCACCAAACAGGTACCTGGTTATCATCAGCACCTGGGCTACCAGAGGCTCAGCCAAAATTATTAGCAAAGTAAGTTGTTTGGCATTGGCTAAAAAAGTTTTAGCAAGGTTTTCATGAGCACAGCCACACTCAACTCAACAAACCCACATACTCAACCTTGTTACTCAAACGGAGAATGTATTTTCTTAACAAATGCGGCACCATTTAAGGTTAAATAAACAAGAGTTTCTAATGGTAAAAGAAATAGGCATTTTACAATAATGTAACCATCAATAAAACATGATATTTGATACTTAAAACTATGTTTAGTATTTTAAAAGCAGCAAGTTGAAGTTAAGCTATCTGAAAACATGGCATACAGTAGATGAAGGACTGAACTATGCTGTCTAACAAGGTTAAGTCAGGTCATCTGGACGGATTCTTCTTTGTTGAAACGTTTCGTCTTTTTTCCAAAATAACTTATTCATTCTGAGGAATGATGCTGCATCTCTAAGGTCTTTGGTCAGGTCTTTGCTCAAAATTTTCCCTTGTTTTTCAAAACATGACTTTCAGATATTATTATTCTGCTGGAGTTTTTTTCCCCTGCACTTGTCATCTTTCTTTGTTATATATTTTTTCTTAGCACATACTGTTGTAGTCAGATGCAATGGTTGGACTGAAAATAAGTGAAAAAGAAGTCTAAGTTCAAATAAAAAAATTTGAAGAACTTGAAAATTATTGACCAAGATCATTTTAAAAGCATATATTTTTTTTTAAAGTCTGCCTCCTTGGAGGAAAAAACATGCAAAAATAAGATGGGCTTTAAACACTTGCATAGCAATATAAATGGGAGTGCACAGATCCAAGGTTTGCAACATTCAAATTTGTGCAAGCATTACAAAAAAAAAAAAATAATAATGTGTATGTGTTGTCATCATTGTATGTTCCCATACAATGGTGAAATTGGCTCTCTGTATTTGACCCTCCCCCCAGGTGGTGTGGTGGGCAGCTATTGAGGGTGCCCTGAGAGCAATTGGGTATGGGGTGTGCTGCTCAGAGACACCACAAGATGTGCAATGACTGGGGATCGAGCCTAGGGCTTTCGGGTGCTGGGTCAGCTGCCCTGCCTCTACCCCATCTTGGCCCCCATATTTATTGTGCTGATATGCATACAGCGATGTAAAGTTGTAATTCAGGATTCAGTCCATAATTATAATTTTCCAATCGCAAATACCTGAAATTGTAATTTTAACAATATTAGGTATCAGGAAATAAAATGCTTGTGAGAGTAAATTGAGCTGTTTAGCAATAACAAGTTTGGTTATTGTTGTGTACCCTGATGCTTTTACATTTACCCCATCATAATGAAACTTTGTTTCATTTTTAGGTAGTATGTTAAATGTTTTTTTTAACACTCAAAAATCCTGTGAAATTTGATCCATCTATAACATCATGTCCATCTGGGCAACCCCTATCTCAAACATACACTCCCACTCAAACACATTTTGCTGCCATCTGGTTGCTTCAGAGGACACCAATATATGCGTCTTATGAGACAATAATAAAGAGACACAAACGCTGGAGACTTAAGACAAACAGACCTTTCATTGCATGCTTGTTATATTTAAGATGTGGATATTTGCTTTTTTAACTTAACTGTGCTTTCCGTCTTTGTTTTTCCTTTCTTTTTCTTAAGCTCAACAATCTAATGAATGTTGAATTCATTATTTTGAATTCTGTTTCCTTTTCTTTCCATACTCCCTCCCTTCTTCCGCACTTTTTTGTTGTTTCACAAACGCATAGCTCTTATGGGCCCTGAGGGACACCGGCACAATGCTATATTCTTCCATATAAACAACGCAACCACCATCCACAATATTTTCCTCTCCGGTTTCCCTTCAAGGTACATTTTTGCTCACCCCCTTACCAAACAGAACAGATTTCTGAGTTCAAACCAGAAAGAACCAACATTTTTGAGCTTTTGTGGGAATCATAATGTTGTTTTCCACGAAGCAGCCATGTTATTTCTGGGCAACGGTTTACCCATGATTTGGTATGGATTGTTATTCTGGTAAAAAGTGGTTCAATCAGGGAGGGAAAAAAAGACGTTTTGAATTTCCTCTTTGAATGTTTTGTTGGTAGGGCAAGAAATAACCTCCAAACTGAACTCGCAACCTTTTCAGAGTGTATGGTTGTGTTGAATGTTTTGACATTTTAATGCAAAATTGGGACATATTTGTACCCACTTTTGTGCATCTGGAGATTCATAAAGTGTTGCATCAAATCATGAATGGTGTGTGCGTCTGAATACACAATTCCCATGCGTGTATGTGTCTGTTTTATGCAATGGGGTAAGACATGAAGAAATACCAGGGGGACTTGTGTTTATGCTCTGCCAGCATCTCTGGCAGCATGACGCAAAGCTGTTTCATTACCAAACTTCTCAATAAACACATGCATGGACACATATTCTGGCTAAATGCTTCCATCTGTAAGAAGACAGATTTTTTTTTTAAGTAAAAGACTTATGGTGCTGAATGAAAGGGGGAATGAAGGATTTTCATTCTCCAGCTGCTTCAAACTCTTACCTGCCAGCACTTTACACTTCATCAATCCTTTCAACTCTATACATCCCGCATTCCCTCATTCCTGCAGCCCTGCCATCTTGTCTTCCTTCCTCAACTTGTTTAATGTTTAGCTTTCCCATGTTCCCAGGTTGTTTCCTTCAAATGTCAAGCAGAGTATTTCAGAACAGAAAGAAAAAGAAACAGCGTATACACCCAGAATATGGTCAGTGATGGAAAGAAAACAAAAATCCAGAGCCCAATGAAAGTGAGATTGACTCAGTAAAAAAAGAGGATGACTGCAAGATGGAAAATGTAAAACGTGTGAGATGGATGGGTAATATGTGTGACGGACAGGAGCAACACTAGTAGCAGACCCTCCTACAAGCTTTACGCTGCAAATCTGGTTACGATTTCCCCCGAGTGTCCGGAGAAATCCAACATTAAAAACAAGTATTTTACAGTATTTAAATAAAAGCATGAACACTACCTTTAAAAGGCATGTTAATCTGTGTCTCTAGTGGACAGTTCTTAAAGGGACAGTTTAGATATTACAGAGTGTTTTTTTTGGAAATGTTACAAATAATTAGTATCTTGCCTGTTTTAGATAGCGCCATAAACAACCTCAATTTTGGGAAAAACAAATAGTTACTTTTGACCAGGTTAATTAGCTAATCAGTAGTCCCTTGCAAACTGGAAAGGAAAACCAGTAAATAAAACTTCTTATTTTTTTTAAAGATGACAGCAATCCATGTTAGTCTTGGCCCAGCTTGGACTAGCTGTTAATTTGTCAATCTCACCCAGAAGAAACCCAGTTCCTCCAAACTCCAAAATACTTCAAGTCTAAATTAACAAATAAATAAAACAAATCAAGACTGTGATAATTGCTTGGTATTGTACTTATGAAATTCTACTTTGTTCTGTATCCTAAATCTAAAATCCAAATCCTTATA